AAAATTTGTTTTGGTCACACTGGTCACACTGGTCACACTGGTCATACTAGTCACACTGGTCACACTAGTCACACTAGTCCCACTGGTCACACCGTTCAAAATTTAGTTTTGGTCACACCGTTCATATTAGTCATATTGGTCACACTAGTTACACTAGTCACATTGGTCACACCGTTCAAAATTTAATTTTGGTCATACTGGTCACACCGTTCAAAATTTAGTTTTGGTCACACTGGTCACACCGTTCAAAATTTAGTTTTGGTCACACTGGTCACACTGGTCACGCCGTTCAAAATTTAGTTTTGGTCACAGTGGTCACACTAGTCACACTGGTCACATTAGTCACACTGGTTACACTGGTCACTTGGTCACACTGGTCACACCGTTCAAAATTTAGTTTTGGTCACACTGGTCACACTAGTCACACTGGTCACACTGGTTACACTGGTCACTTGGTCACACTGGTCACACTGGTCACACCGAAAAATTTTAAAATTCACGCGAAAAATTTAATTTTTTGTGGTGGAGGGAGTTTTAAAAATTTTAAAATATTTAATTTTTTTCCTAGGGAACCGAAAACTGTTTTCTCTCTCTTCTGTTTCTGTCATTGGGACTCACGCCAATGGGTATTATGGGAATAACATAATTATAAGGGTATGTTTTGAACTAACTTTTTATTTTATTTTTGCAGGGGTATGCCTTGAAGTCTTTGTAGCATTGTAGGGGTATTTTTGATAAAAGCCCTCCCTAACACCTTCTCCCTTCTCATTCTTCATTGGCATCTCGCGTGCCGTTTCGCTGTACAAGCCTGACCTCGCGTGTCGTTTTAATCCATCCACTTAACCTATGCCACGTGTCCTACTAATCTTCTTTCCGCCCGGCCCAATAAAGTTCACTATGTTCTTATTGGGCTTTTTTTTTATCAGTTCCATTCCATGCTTAATGGCCGGAATATATTTTCCACCCATCTTCTCGTCTTGAGATAGATCATGTCTTGAACAAATTAGCAATTGATATTATACCCTTAATTATTATCAATCATATATAATCTCTATATTTTATTTCTATTTCAACATGTGCAGCATTTTTGTGGTGGATTAAGACCATATTATCCCCTTCCAGTCATGTATTCGATGGAGGTTATATGCTTTGGATAAGAGATTTTTTTAGGTTATAAAAATGTGAAAAACTGTATTATACTATGCTCTGTCGGTTCAATTATTTGTAACGAATGGAATGTAAAGCATTAATATAAATGTGGGTATCATCATATGTAAAACACTCGCGTTTGTTGGTACCTCGTAAAATCGAGGTTAATGTTCATTCATGCGGATGTCCGAAATGGTACTAAATCCAAGTAGGGGACCGAAGATGCCCCCCCCCCTCCCCCTCCCTATGATGTCGAATCCTACCCTGAATTTAAATGATACAACTTGTATTATTTAAGATAATATATAACAATTCAATGCATGGTCGAGAGGAGTAGATGTGTTGTATTAATTAATATGCAAAGGTACCGAGACAAATTGCAAATTTCATGATTCAACGGATGATATATATGTATATATATATATGTATATATATATATATATACCACACATGCGGTGCCTTGAAAGATCACAATCAGAAAGAGGCCATAATACTTTCAGTCTTTCGGAGAGCTCATACACAAAAAAGCCATAGTGTTATTTAAAAAACCAACATATCTATAACCATTATTATTATACAATAACAACGTTTTAATTGTTGTCATATATTATAAATAGTATGCAGAATTACAAACAAGAAGATGGGAAGGTCTCGTCGTCGTGCAGAGGAAGAGGTAGGGTTACGCAGAGGGAGATGGAGTTCTAAAGAAGACAGATTGCTCAGCGATTACGTTCGAACTCACGGTGAAGGCCGCTGGAAATCATTGCCCAAGAAAGCTGGTAATTCACAACCCGACACTTATACACACACACATATATATATATATATATGTATATATGGTCGTCGTCGTGAGGAATCTAGAGGGAATGTTGGTTCTTGTATATATAGGGTTGCTTCGGTGTGGGAAAAGTTGCAGACTGAGATGGTTGAACTATCTTAGACCGGACATAAAGAGAGGGAACATAACTCCGGAGGAAGAAGACATTATCGTAAGACTTCACAAGCTTATAGGGAACAGGTGGTCCTTGATCGCCGGAAGACTTCCCGGTCGGACCGACAACGAGGTCAAGAACTATTGGAACACACACCTCAGTAAACGACTTCAAAAACACGTCACCCGTCCCATCAAACGGAGAAGCAGCAGCAAAAACTCGGCGGCAGTCTATGCCCCCAAGCCCTTGAGGGTTACAAATCATCAGCAACCCATGAACACGATGGCATTGGCCGAGGCCACGGAGTTTGTAGAGAAATTATGTGATAATGACATAGATGTCTTCGATTCAGACGCAGCCATGTGTATTGATGGATCGTTACAGACACTTTACGAAGAGTACACCCGGCTGCTTATGCCCCATTCCACCATGATGATGCAATATTCGAGTACTAACGTCGGTTTGCATGCATAAGTGCATATTCATTAGGATTATTATTCATTCCTTGTATCATTTTTATATTTTTTTCCCTTTTTTATTCGTTCAGTCAAGCATGGTGCAACATTATCGGCTCAAATTTAAGTATCTAATTTCTAATCGGTATTTTCTCTAGTAGATGAGTTCTAATATACCATTACGTTCCAAACAATATAAACCATTAGAAATTTATACATAATGGTATACTAGAACTCATAATTTTATCCAACATTTTGGTGGTTCAGTGGTTGAGAGACGACAAAATCTTCAAGATATTGGATTCGATTCTACTGGTGGAGGGAAATATAATTTCTAGACAAAAATAGTCCATATACAAAGATTGATCTCAAATTTAGGATGGATATAATCGGGTCGCGTTAAAGGTCCGGGGAATCATCCTAATTATCTTAAAAAAAAATGACTCATAATTTTCCAACTTTAATTCATCAGATCATGACTCTAGAAAAATCCAAAAGCCATCTCCCCACGTCTTATGACGTCATACATAATTTCTTTTTCCTGTCACTATTTAATTATTTTTTAAAACCTTTGGAATGTAATTATAAATTGAAATAAGCCACGTGGCGGATGGCAATAGGTTGGATCTTCATAAGAGGACGCGTAGATCGAGTCAGATGCGAACACGTGTACGAATAGAGATGACGTCTTAAGAAACAAATGGCTTGCACCAGAGCCAACGAGTCAACTCATCAACCACCACCGTAGATACGTTGTATGTATACGCTCTTTACTTTGCTTGACACGTGTCTGATGACGTGGTTGTCGCCTTCTCCCTTCCGTTTTTCTTCTCTCCCTCGTCTTCCTCCATCAAAAGAAACTGAACTAATTTCTCCCCTCTGCTTTTAGAGAGAGAAAGTGGGGAGAAGCGAAATGCGTTTAATTTTCTGCGGCGTTTTCTTGATTTGATCTCCGGCGTCGTCTGTTATCGTTTCTCGCCGGAGCTTTGGGATTATCTAGGTATGCGGAATTTATGTTTAGTAGCCTTTTAACTTGAATTCCATGAAAATCTGTTTGGCTTCGGAGAAAATTGTATGCCTATGAAACGGGGAAGGAAAAGGGTTTCCGACCATTAGAATGAGAAGATACAAGGAATCGAGATTTTTGTTGTTTTTATGATCCTGGTTGGGCAGCTATGCAGGTTGGCTAGTCTTATCCATGCTCTTAGTTCTGAGTTCTCACCATGTAGTGCAAAGCCATTATGTGAAGGCATGATGATAATTAATTGCACTCTGCTAGGCCTACTATGGTCCGAGAGTTGCTACCCCTCCTTACTACAATTCAGCTGTGGCTGTAGCATCCGGGCATCCTCCTCCTCTGCCGCCTTACATGTGGGGTCCGCGGGTAATAGCCGATGCCTCTCACTTGTCAAAACACTAATAAAGGGTTAAACAAACAATCGATATTTCACGAGGTGTGTGAATCACGATCAAGGGTGAATGACTATTTGTAGTAGCGATCCGGGAGAATCGTACGGTTTTATGAAACCTTGTGCTATGGCTCGAATTTCGGAAATGTATATAGTAAGACAAGATCCATCATTTCCGATCTTTACCTTCCAGCCTATGGTTTCACCATATGGAGCACCCTATGCGGCACTTTACTCGCATGGAGGAGTTTATGCACATCCTGCAGTTCCTACGGTAATGATTGTATGGAAATGCAAGTTGTAACTAGTCAGGGGACTGCTTCTCTGAAAGTTTAGTGTCTGATTTCCTCTTTCGGACAGGGTGCACAGCCTCGAGGTCAAAAGGGTCCATCATCAACAGATGTAAGTGTTAAGACTTAGCCCCTCTAGGCAATGCTGTAAGAATTACCAGTTCACGGGTGTAACAGACAAGTGATTTTTGGTTGTAATAATTCTGGGTTTTACAATGCAGTCTGGGACACCTCTGAGCATCGAAACTCCTGCCAAATGTACAGGAAACACAGACAATGGTTATGGTCTGATGAAGAAGCTGAAAGAGTTTGATGGGCTTGTCATGTCTACTGTAAATGGTTATTCTGAGGATAAGGCTGACCACAAGCGGTCGCTCAGGTTTGTTCTTCTACCTACTCCTCACTTCTCTAAAATGTTTGTTATTGTCCTTCGTCTCTTATTGATTTATTGTCATCTTGATTTGATGTGAGCAGTCCGGATACTGAAGGTTCGGTTGATGAGAGTGATGGGAATACAAGTGGGGTAATAATCCTTCTTTCCTGCTACCATTTGTTCCAGACACCTTGCAAAATCAGTATTCACTATTCAGTGATCTGATGAGTAAACATCTGGTATTGTTTTCAGGCAGATCAACCGAAAATTAAGAAAAGCCGAGAGGGAACACCCGCAAAAGGTATTGTTTTGTGTCTCCTATAGTCTTCTTAGTGCTCTTAGTCTGTCAAATGTGTCTTTGCCTTTGAAATTTCCTTTTGACTCTTTCCAATTTCTGTTGATCAATGAATCTAATGTTGCACAGATGGGAAACCTTAGTCTCGATCTAGCCCACTTTCTTCTGTGTCTATGGATGTAAAACCTATTCATGGAGTTGTCCTATCTACTGGTGTAGCTGCCAAATCCGATCACTGTTCTTCCCAATCTCTAGCCATGGTTCCTTCTGAAGCCTGACTTCAGGTATTCCCCCGACTATTTGTCTTCAAATTCTTGTATCTCTAGCCATTTCGTTCTTTGGACCACTAACACAAAGCCACCGGCCGCTCTATGGTACCATTCGGCCAGAATGACAGGGAACTGAAACGGGAGAGAAGGAAACAGTCCAATAGGGAATCTGCTAGAAGGTCAAGATTAAGGAAACAGGTCGCTAAATTAAAAATTATCAATTAAAAAAATTCTTGGTGTGATATTCCGAGCATTGCCCGGAAATCAAGCTAAAGCTTTCATCTTTTCATCTGCTAGGCTGAAATCGAAGAACTCGCTTTAACAGCTGGAAATATGGCTCTCACATCAGAAATCAACCAACTAACTGAGAAATCAGAGAAACTTAGAGTAGAAAATGCAGCCTTGGTGGTAAGCCTTCATATGTTTCTGCCATCTAACCTGAATTCAACATCACATCGTATGCGTATGTATAAGAAACTTTCTTGAAACCATCTTCTGCTTTGCAGGAGAAAGAGAAAGGTTCAAACAAGAACAAAGAGAACAGAATCTCGGGTATTAGCACTAGAGAATCTGCTCGCTAGAGTGGATCACTCAGGACGGGGCGGAAAAGATTCTACCTCCAACGGTAAGATGCATCAGCTCCCAATAGAACCTGTAACCTTTGCACCCAAGAGGAGGAGACACATGAACACTTATTCTTCAAATGCCCATTCAGCTGGGAGATTTGGTCAATAATGGCGTCCTTCTGCTGGCCATCGCTGCCGACTGGCCTAGGAGAATGCAAGCAGTGGATTGAGTAGCCAACACATGAGACTAGCCGAGGACAACCGACTTTGATACGCTTTTGTTTACAACTGGCGGCATATGAGATTTGGCGAGAGAGAAACAATAGGATTTTCAGATCAAAATCCAGAACTACTGCGGGTATAAGAGGAAAAATCGACCGGACAGTGCGCGACACCCTACTTTCTATGAAGGTATCCCATCGGCAATGCATTGACTGCCGACTGCTTGAACACTGATACTATTTGACGCGAAATCGTTGATTCTTACGGTTTTCTTTTTAGTTTTGAAATGCCCACCACTTGTGTATGGGAATTTGCTGACCGTTTGTCGGGATCTTCTGAAAAAGCCTAAACGAGGCTATGTAAATCACAATTTTGAGTAGAAATACAAAGCACAGTTAAAAAAAAAAAAAAGATGCATCAGCTCCTGGACACGAGCCCTGGAGTTGATGCAGTAGCCGCGGGCTAGTTAACCCCATTTATAAACCGGTGTTGCTAATTCCAGAATCTAACAGTTTAGTAGTGCAAGGAAGAGAGCATGGTTAAGAGAAGAGAATCTTTAACTAAAAGCCCTCAAGACAGTGAGGTTTGGTAGGTTAATGTTGTCGGCATCCTTGGTCAAAGCCCTCTTCTTCATGTAGAGGTTTATGTAAATCTGATTTCTTACTCTAAACGGAGCATGCTTTGACGGGCCCTCTAAAGATGGCAACTCGTTAGAATTGATCCTGAAATTTTTTAGTCAAAAGGTAGTGCTAAGATTCATGGTTTGAGGTGTCATTTGTTCTCTCCATAAAATTTTCTGAACTCCTAAACTTATAAAATGATAAAAAAATTAATTTGTAAATTTTTCGGTTAACAAATTTATTTTCAAATTTATAAAATATATCACTATAATTTTTAAGTTTATTAATTGATGTCAAAAAAAATTTTGACGATCGTTGTTTTAAAAATCTACTTGGTAATTATAATAATATATTTTGCAAATTTAAGAATTATAAGAATATAAGTTAGGGAATTATAATTATAAATTTTGCAAGTTTGAAAATAAATTTGTTTAGATCTTACGAGTTGAGTTATATAATTTAACAGGTTGTTAATTTAAATTGGGCAATCTAATCTATTTAGTCTAAATTTATATGGGCTTTATGATTTTTTTGGGTAGAATTAATCCAACCCGATAAAAACAAATTAAAATTTAAATAAATTAAGCTAATCTATAAATCCAATAAATCCATTTAATCTATTGAATTATAATTAATTCATGAATTATTTTATTAGCAATAGATATTAATGATATTTAAAAAATCAATTAAATTAAAATCTATGAATAATAAATCATAATTATTAAAACAATAAAATTAATTAGATGGTATTTATAAAAAAATATTATTTACCAATAACTATTTCTAAAATTTTATTTATCCTGATAATTTGATTATATTTGTCATTCAAATTTATATAGAATTCACTTATGTTATTTGGTTTGAATATTCCGATTTTGATTTTATTAATGGAATGAGAAAAACTATCTAATAAAATTTGTAATTATATAGGTTTAATTTTTAAATATGTTCGACGAATTTAGTGAGTTTATTCATTTAATATATAATTTTAAAGGATTAAAACCCATAAAACTCATTTAATTAAAATTACTCAAATAACTATTAAAATACACTATTTTATTGGATCGGATTGAGATAATCCATTTAATCTGACTCATTTGACATCTCTATAGTTAGTCCAATAGTTTACCATATATATATATTATCTAAAATTTGATTTCTATTGATCAATTGGTAATTTGCAAAATATACTTTTTTTTTTTTTTGTAAGAGAATACACTCTCGAAAATTTTTAAGACAAGAATATACTATCTTGAACGAAACAGTTTTAACCTTAAAAATTTTCGGACGAAATAGGTGTTTACATACGAAATAGTTTCATCGTGGAGAATCTATTTTGTTCTAAAGAGTATGTTTGTTTTTTATTTGGAGGTTTTATAGAATGAAAGTGTTTTGTTCTATATAATTTGTTTCATTTTGAAAATTATTCGATATAATAAAGGTGATGATATTTTTGATAAATCACAGAAAAAAGTTATATGTGTTTAATCTCTCTCTAAAATTGATATATTTGCACAAATTTCCTCTTAATTTATTTTGGATATTATGCGGTGTTTTCCATGTGATGAGAGATATTATTTTGACGAACAAGAACACACCTTGATTCTGTTGTTTAAATGTGATGGCAAACTGGGCCAAGAGATGTCTGCTTATTTTATCGTTTAGGAAAACGGGTTGTGGTCAGAAATTTCCTCGTGGTTGTCGGCCCTTTATATATGTGTATTGTACAATTGCTTGGTCACCAAGCAAAAATTATCATAATTTCCTTGTTAAATTAAAATATCTTGTACGCAATACGAGATTATCATGCGGAAATCATAATTTAAAAAAAAAAACACACACACCATAGATTCAATGATTCTCTATGGCGGGCGCGTGGGATGAGCTGAATTGCTTGGAGGCCAAGCTACAGAATGGGACCGAGGCTCTTGTTTCTGCCACGTGTCCAGATTCCAACGTCTCGAGATGCGGCGAGTCGTTTGGAAATGTGGGTGGGTGAATCTAACATCACTACTGCAAAATAAATGCGTGGCTGTGACTATGTTAAGGATGTTCCTCAGAATCGGCGATTCTTCTTCGCCTATCCACTATTCTCTCTCTCTCAGGAATCTCTCTAAAGCACAAACCATGTCGCCGACAAGAACAATCAAGTTCACTGAGCACCGAACTGTCATCGCCGTCCCGACAAGACCCTCCACCGGTTCCACCAACATGGTCCGAATCACGGTCACCGACCCATGCGCCACCGACTCCTCCAGCGACGACGACGACGACGGCACAGGTGCGCCTCCGCTGGCGAGAGTCAAACGCTACGTCGACGAGATCAGGTTCCAGGACGCCGGCTCCTTCGCCTCCGTATACAAACCCGGAAAGGCGGCGAGGCAATCCAGAGACAAGCCGCCGAACGATGTTGGCTCGTCGGCGTGGGCGATTCCGATAAAGTACAGGGGCGTGAGGCAGAGGCCGTGGGGGAAGTTTGTGGCGGAGATTCGTGATCCGGCGAGCCGAACGAGGATATGGCTCGGGACGTTCACGACGGCGGAGGAAGCCGCTCTTGTGTACGACCGAGCCGCCATCAGCCTCAAGGGGCCAACCGCTCAGACCAATTTCCTGACTCCTCCGCCGGAGACATGTCCGTCGATTATCGACCTCGAGGCTGTTTCAGGCTGCGATTCTAATCAGGCACTCTGTTCTCCTACCTCTGTTCTCCGGTTCAGCGTTAACGAGGAAAAAGAGCTCAGGAGGGAGCTATTGTCCGGATCAACACTGGCGACTGAGTTCAGTTCGAGTATCCAGACCATCTGTGAACCGCCGGCGAGTCTGGTGTCGGATCTGAGCTTCGTCGGGGAATATTTCTGGGGTTCCGACACACCCCCAGATCCGTTGTTCTTGGAAGAAATTTCGGTAAAACCAGACACTGTGTCGAAAGAGAAAGGTGAATCCGGGGATTTCTCGTTTGAGCTGATGAAAGATTTCACTTCTTCCGAATGGGATGTGGATAGTTTCTTCCAGGATCATTTGCCATCAGATTGATTCTGTTTTCTTCAAAATTTTTGGTCCCGAGTTTGTGGAGACGACAAACAGTGGTTGTGATGATGGCGACAATAACAGTCGCATCTCGACCGTTCGTTTCCTCTCCGTCCAGCTGTCATGGACGGTACCGATTTGCTGAAGCGGGAAACTTTTTCTTAGAGATTATATTTTTATTTGCGCTTATATATTGATATAATATATGTATTTATATATATGTTAAATGTAAATAATTGTCCTTTCTCTTGTTTTTTTGTCTGTTTGTTTGAAGATATATTTGTTTTGGGTGAACGGATATGTTGTTCTTGGGCATGTACCTCGAGTGGGTTTCTGTGTGGCATGTCACTTCGTTCGCATATTATATATATATATATAACTAAGCCATCCTCGACATCCATGGTGATTTATCGAGGCACGCTTCCAAGTGGAGAGACTCCTCAAGATTATGTCGTTGACCTTCGGTCAACTTTACACATTTGACTCCCGCAGGTTAAAATAACTAAAACTATTGGTAAGTGATTGCGATGTGTCAGTGAAATTGTTTTTTTTTTAATCTCATCGAGAGCCATTAAAAGTGGAGGAGAGGGAGAGTGGGGTCTCAACTTAACTTCTATCAAACCCTCCTTTTCAGGCAGAAGCAACGGATCAGAGCCCTTTTTGTCCCTCCTCGAGTCAAATATATCAGCTGCCAAACCGAATTATCGAAAAGGAGAATTGATTACATTACTATTCCACTAATTTGGCACTTTTCTATAGCAAAAGTCCTCTCATTTTACTGCCAAGAATTCACGGTATACCCTTCAAAACCTTAGGGTTTTAAAAATAAAAAATAAAAAAACAAAAGACATAATTAATCCTCTCAGAAAAATCACATGACACCCTTCTCCCCACTTATTTAGTCATTTTGAATTCATCTCTCTCGTTTTCAGGCTTTGATAACTCTCCATTTCTTTCTTAACTTTCTCTCTTCACTCTTATCTTTATCTCAACTCTTCCATTTTCTCTCTTCTCATTTCATTTTAACGCATAGAAAAACAAACAAAAAACGATTATTTCATTGCACATATCTTCACCGACGACCTCATATATTCTTCTTGAGTCGGTCTAAGACAGAACAAATGACAAGAACTGAAGGTAAGTTCATTAATACAAGAGATTGGTTCGATACATAAACTTTATGTTTTGGGTTTGAGTTTTATGATTTTTAAAGTGAATCGTATGGTTTTTTATGAAAATAGGACAGATGCATAGCAAATCTGTCCAAGAATAGGCAAGAGACACATATTTAATTTCAAATAAATATTCGGAGCGATAATGGAACGGATTGACAACGAAACAAAAGTACGTCACATTGGTTACACCGTTTAAAATTTAATTTTGGTCACACTAGTCACATTGGTCACACTAGTCACATTAGTCACACTAGTCACCCTGGTCACATCATTCAAAATTTAGTTTTGGTCACACTAGTCACACTGGTCACACTAGTCACACCGTTCAAAATTTAGTTTTGGTCACACTAGTCATATTGGTCACACTGGTCACACTAGTCACATTAATTACACCGTTCAAGATTTAAACTCTGATCATATTGATCGCACCGGACACACGAGTCATACTGATCGGATAGGTCATACAACTTAATATTAAACTTTGTTCACTTGATCACACTAGTCACACTGATCACACTGATCACACTGGTCACACTACAAATTTTTAAAATTCATGCGAAAAATTTCTTTTTTTTTGTGATGGAGGGAGTTTTAAAAATTTTAAAATATTTAAATTTTTTTCTAGGAAACCGAAAACTGTTTTTTTCTCTCTTCTCATTAATGTTTTTATCATTGGGACTCATACCAATGAGTATTATGGGAATAACGTAATTATAAAGGTATGTTTTGAAGTAATTTTTATTTTTATTTTTGCAGGAGTATGCCGTGAAGTCTTTGAAGCATAATAGGGGTATTTTTTATAAAAGCCCCTTTGAATATCAATCAATAGGGTAATATCGAAAATACACCTCAGCCGTTTCTAGGACTTGGATGTGCCCGAACAATATAACAAAATAGAAACAGTTAAAAACCGGAAATATCCAATAACTAAAACGTTTGAAAAAACAAAATGTCTTAAAAAAAAAAAAAACTTAATTTTTTGAGTTTAAAAAAACTTCCGTAATTAAAAGATATTTAAAAAAGAAATATCGTTTGAGCTTCCCACGTTTGAACTTTTCACATAATAGTCGAAACAGAGAAAGTCGCGACGAACACTCTAATATAAATTATCGAAATAGAGTGGTCGAACAATGAGATGGAAAATAGTTGGGGAAGAGAAACTACGAAACGTGAAACTCAATCACGTAGAAATTTCTTTTATTCGTAGAGAAGTGAAAATTTTATATGGAATATTCATCATTATCAAGTGGGAGTCCAAGTGTTACGCTTGGATATTCATATATTCGGAAACTTAAGTATATCCAACTTTTTCCTTGATTTTATGGTTAAAGATGAAGGTTATAGTGCTCTAGTTAATCTATGTATGATACCTTCTTGTAATGAATTTATTGGTGAAATAAATGTCATTTTCATCATACAATTTGCATGTTGGTTGTATGATGATACCCATTTATCGAAACAATTCTAAATTCCCTAGTTGATCTCATCGTGGGAACGATGATTAGCTAAGTCTGGCATGAGACGTGATAGATGATCATTGAGATGATCATGTGTATTGAATATAGATCACAATCGTGGGTACTTATTTGAAAACAAATGATTGGATAACCTGTATGAGACTGTCAAATGAACATGTAACATGACTTAAATCTCATATGATGATTTGCTAACGGATCCTCAAAATGGAGATATCTATATATATCTGATATGATGAGTAGTCTGTTTTTACTAAAACGTTTTTGTAATATGATAACTATAATGGCTTATCGAGTACGTTATGAGATATATGGAGAATAGTATATTTTGACTCTCTAGTGTAGAGAGAGATATCGCTGGACCCCTAAAATAAGATGAGCTGTGAAATATGTGACCACACTTAAATTAGTGTCATCTATCATGTTTAGTTTATCTCATGGACGAGTTAAAGCGATTGAACTTGATAAGGTACTAGATCCATGTATTTATGCCTTACGTTCGATCTATGATATCGTGTTTCAAAAAAACCGTAGTTAGAATATGACGGTGTTACATACATGATGTTTATCTTGTCAAATATGACCGTGTCATTTTTACACATCAACGACTAACAAATTATAAACGTCATCACATATCGTGGGGTAAATTAGGAGAAATTTACAATTTCTTGTATTTTATTTGGTAGCTAACAAAGTGATGTACTTTTTGGGTAAAAAAAAATTAACAAAATTCATATATTTATTTGGAATTTTCCCTAGGAATCACCTTTTATTTTATTTTTTAAAACAATATCCTCAGTTTTCTAGAACATTTTTTTTATTAAAACTCATTATTAACAAGTCTTAATAAGTCGTTTTTCATTTATAAAAAATAAAAAACGTAAATTTTTTGTATTAAATTTATATATTTCTTCCTATATTTGTTATAACGTCTATCGTAACTGTGGGTAGGGGGTCGCTTATTACATTGATAATTACATTGATAACCGAAGAACCGAATCGATCCGAACTGAATAACGCATAAATGTAACCGAACCGAATTAGATGTAAAACCGAATGGTTATGATTTCTCTAAAACCGAATCCGAACTCGAACCGAATAAAAAAATAACCGAAAAACCGTATGTTCCGAATCATTACACAACTAATTCACAAACATACTCGCCAATTTCGATAGTTACAAATCTTTCACGTATAGCATTGAATGCAAACCTCGATTCCCAAGATTATGATACAGATAGTGAAGATACTACCAAAGATGATAAAACTAATGCATGCTGTGATCACAGAGAAGCGTATTAGTGGCCTAATGAAATCATCATGCCTTGTAATCGAAACATGGATCTAGCAAAAGGGTGCAATTTTTTTTTAAACATGTAAGCGTCTCCTTATCAAAACTTGCATATAAATCATGATATAGAGAACAGTACTTAACTTTATTGGCAAAAGAGAATGTAAACATCCAAACAAGTTATTCAGAAATTTTCAAGCGTTATTGAGAGCTCACCATAAATGATGCTCCATCGTTCAAGGATTCCGACCAACACGTTCCACACAGAAAATGACTTCATCTCTCCAGGGGCTTCTAATTGTTTGCTGTGCGTGTTGTGTCCTGCATCTTGGGCTCACTTTTCTGCAAATTCACAATTACCACCGAGGATCAATGGGCGATTCCTATTCCGTAATTTCTCTTCAATGCTACAGATAGTGAAGATACTACCAAAGATGATAAAACTAATGCATGCTGTGATTGAAGAAAATCCTAGAAAACCCAACGAAATCAACACTTGGAGATTTCAAGGCACCTGTTAACTATCTGGTATTCAGATCAAAGTCTTTCCACTCGGCTAAATACGAATATCACAGATTTTCACCAACAGTTGAAAACGACGCGAAATCTAGAAGGATCCGCAATCCGACTGATGAGAAACAACCATGACCTAACTCGTAACGAATTCCAGAACCAAATTTGATCGGAATATGAAACACGCACATGAATACGGCTGAGAAGAACAATTACAGAAAATTTCGACCAATCGAGAGATGAATCTAAGAACCTAGGGTTTGCTTTTCGATACGAGATGAAGGGGAGACTTACGTTCTGAGAGAAAATGAAGGTGGCGACGACGGCGGTGGCCATCACTCCGCCAAGGACCGCCGCAGGCCCGGTGAGCAGACTCCATTTACGGTATATCATCTCCGACTCCGACTCCGACTCCGACTCCAAGCCTTCGCTCACGTCCTCTCTTCGACAATAATAATCTTGACGAGATTCAGACGATGCCGATGAAGTAAACGAAAACTCTGTACAAAAGGGGGCCAGATTAATGGGCCATATAACCCAAACCAAAATCTAATTGGGCTTATTCTAAAAGCCCAAACATCCAAAAACTCTCATGAATACTACTATATGTAGTTGGTCCATCACATCATAAATTATGTATGTTAATGTTGTCAGACATTGTAGAAATCTCTAAATCGATATTGGATGCATACCACAGATCTTTTCTCTCCTTTTGTTTTATATATGTTTGTATATATATATATCCTTTTTAGCACGTGTTTTTTCAAGTATAATTTCGTGGTAGAAGTTATATCGGTAGATAATAATTACAAAAACTTGTAGTTAGGCTATAGTTATCAACATTTAATAATCCACACAAGACATGATTTGACATATTTATTGTTAAAAGGGACGGTGGTTAAGGTTCGTACGAAGTTGGGCCACAGGATATGTCGTATTTTGTCCGTGAACAGCCAAGGGATGTATGTATCATGTTCTCGTGTCACTCTTTTTTTGGCCCATTGTACTGCATCAGCTTACATACACACAAAAGGCATTTTTTTGGGGTAAAAACCCATAAAAGGCATTTACTTGCTTATAGGAATGAATTCACTGTTATAAAAAAAATCCAAATAAAATTATTAACAATGACAAAGATTTCATCTGAGACAACCCACATATCAAAAGCAGCATTTTGGCAAATAGATAGAAACATTACATAATCGATACAAATATAACAAATCACCAGTATATAGCAAGAGAGAGAGTGAGAGAGAGAGAGAGTGAGAGAGAGAGAGAGATTAATGAAATGCAAAAGGCCTTAAAACCAAATTTAATATGTATTTAAAAATGATAATTAAGGCTAATCACTCTCTTAATTTAATGTAATTAGAGAGAGAGAGGGGGGGGAGATGGAAAATGCAAAAAAAAAAAATTGTCAGGTATTGTTGGTGGAGTTGCGAAGGAGATGCTCTCTCCGTCGGTTGGCGAAAACGGCGCCGTATTTCATCAGCCAATACCTCTCTACCTCCTCCGGCGTCCTCCCCGGGATCCGTCCGGCTATCAACGCCCACCTGCCACGTCACCACCTTTTTGTAAAAATTACGCAAATACCCTTCCTCGTCCGGATTTCCCAATCAACTTAATTACTAATAGTGATTTATATCGTCCCACTCCCCGTATTAAATGTCCGGCCAACGACCCGTTCGGTTCGCCGGCCAAAACAATGGAACCGCCCCGAGCCCGTGAGGACAGCGTCCATTTATTTGTTTATTAATTTATTTATCTTATCTCAGTTTTTTCCTAAAAAACCAAACCGGCTTTTTTCTTGTCCACTGGAAGAATTTATAATATTATTTATCATGTTTTTTTTACTATCTTAGAATTTCTAAAAGGATGGCACTGATGAAATTGAGTGGAAAAGACATGTTGGCAGGTGGAATCTTACAAAAAAAAAACACAAGAAATCCAGTTTCGGATGTTAGTTCAGCGGTTCTAAGGGATAGAACGATGAGGACAATTCAAATTGAACGTTGGTTAACACGTATGTTTTAAATCCAGAAAGAAAACTACAGGTTGGGTTGTAATTCCATAGAGTTTTGAAACATGTTTACGTCTTGTTAAAAAAAAAACGAATATGTAAATCTATATTTGAATCCTAATTCAAATTCTATATATTAAAAAAATATATTCGTGGACTGGAACGGTGGGAGAAGAGTTTGATTTTTTAAAAAAAAAAGACGAAGAGGATATATGAAAGACCTGTCGCCGACGAGTTTGTACATCCGACATATGAGATCTTCTTCTTCTTCCGACATGTTAACGGCTTCCCACTCGATGCTGCTCACCTCTGCCACCACCCATCATCATCACCATCATCATCTCACTCTCCCGATTGAATCCTCAGTCATGTAAAAGGAAGAAAAAGAAGAAACGAAACTGACCTTCGGAACAAGAGGCTTTGGCCTTGCTTTGTCTCCGGCGGCGTTTATCCATCGATCTCTACAGCTGTCCCGGAGAACCAAACCGAAATCCCTCGCTGGTCTTTCACAGAGAGAGAGAGAGAGAGAGAGAGGGAGGATTAACGACAGGCTTGGGTGGAGAGGGAAATCATGATCTGATTAATTTATAACTGCGTGCATCTCTTTTGTCTTATTATATTTAAATCATTGTATCAATCACTCTTACATTTAATTACCGCATAAGAGTAGAAAAAACCCCTGCTCTCGAACCGAGAAGACGCCCTTCCTCTGCGTATGGAGAGAGAGAGAGAGAGAGAGAGAGAGAGAGAGAGAGAGAGAGAGGACTCAACGGACTTCCCCGGAGAAGAACGACAGATCCAACCAAACCAACCGCTACTAAAATACGCTCCCTTTGACTTGCCGTTGCCCTCTCTCCGTGTCACCGTATTACGCCCCCATAAAAGACGAAAATGCCCCCCACGCATGTTGAAAGACTAAAATACCCCTACCCTTCGCATTGTCCGGCGCCGGTGGGTCTTCGAGCCCACCACCCGTCCCTTTCGTCGAGGCTGCGGCCGCACTTTTAAACCTCGGGCTCCAGCAAAGGTTTTTCCCAATTTTCCAAACCTAATTTACATACATGCATGCATACATACATACATACATATATATGTATTCTTAAGCATAACAAAAATGAACAAATAATTCGGTGCCCCTATTCTAGTAAATGTCAAATTTCGTATAAAATCTGTAAATGTACAAAAACATGCATTTGTTCCATATTTAATACGCCATCTAAACCAACAAAAAAAATTCTCCATTTTCATTTTCGAGATTGGTCGATGCTTTTCTAAATCCATGGAATCTATCGTTTTCTACAGCCGATATATACATAAATTCCGGGTATTTATTTATTCACGATAGTGATAGGCCTTTAATTTCTTTTTGACAGCCAAACTATATTGAACGTTTGGTAGACAAAAAAAACCAGAAGCACAAAGAGAAGAGCAAATGGTTATAGATATATTTTTTTTAAAAAAAATTCCCTAGGGCTTAGTCACCATCAATTGGGTGTATTATCTCTGGTTCGTCCGACGTGGTCCAACGCATTGCATTACACTTTCGCACTCTTTGTTCCCGTGATTTCTCATCTTCTTCTGCCTTGTAATATGCAAGAGTTACATCTTTTTTTCGATAAACGTGAATCTTAACTGCTATTTTTCGGATGCTTCGAAATTAGTCTTTATATATAGATTTTTTGACCCAAAAATTATATCTCTAAAAAAAAGTTACAAAATTTTTACTTGTATATATATATATAAAAAAACATTCGGAGATATTTGAAGTGTATAATAATAACGGGTTTTATGAGTAATGTAATAATAATAATGGGTTTTCTTGAATGCCCATCAAAACATTCGGAGAATAAATATTTTATGGCTTTATACATTTTTTCTTTGAGTTAAAAAAAAAACATTTTTTAAATGTATCGGGAGATGTACAGTGGGGGACCTTTTTTTTTACGTCTCAGATAAAATATAATTATAAACGATGGAAAGAAGATTAAAAAAAAATGTGATGAACCCATTAGTTAATAGGGTTTGACTGATTAGGACAAAGCATCTAACAACAAAGATTTACACCATGTGGCGTGCAATATGTCATAAATTTAAAATTAAAAATCATTAGATGAACCTATTGGAACAACACACGTAGGCCGAAAAATCACGCACGCTTCTGAAACTGCGAGCATTTGCGGTCCCGAATTCTTAGGTGAAATTTTAGAGAGATTCAAGTGGATGTTTGAGTGGGGACTACTAAATCCGGACGTCATGGACACTAATTACGGCGGGTTCATGCGTTGCGTATCTTCTGTGTTTGGAAAAAGCAGAGGATTTTTTTTTTTAAAGTCTTATTCCATTTTCTAAAGGTCATAGACAAAACTATATAACAGGGATGGGCATTTCGTTATCAAAAAATACATTATTATTTTTTATTTGGAACTTCCAAAATTTTCAAACTGTATTAATTTTAGAAAAATCAAATTTTTCCATAATCGAACCGAACCGAATTTTTAAAAAACCAGAAAATCCGAATTTGTTTTTAAGAATATCTAATTTTCCATTTATATATTTTTTTAACAAGCTAATGTTAATTTCGAACTTATTATTAAGACAACTAGACAAACACATACATATATACAAACAGACATGCGGATACATATATATATATATATATATATATATATATATATATATATATATATAATATAT